GACAATTCCATTTACAAAAGTACAAAAGTTTGCGATAGCATGTCTTTAAAGCATAAGTTACAAGATGATACCTCTAATACCTGAAAAAAAAATCACGTATAAAACAAAGTAGATTGAATTCTTTAAGTTCAAGGGTTCGTTTATTTTAATTATCTGTTAAAAAAATTAGCTCGTAAGTTATAAAAGACATTATTCTCCAAGAAAAAGCTATATAATTTTATAATGTACATTATTTAACAGCCAAGTGGTTGAAGTAAGGGATTCACATATAGGAAAATTATATTAAAGTAAAATAGTCCATAATGGAAACTCTGTAATACCACGTGCAAGATCATACCACGAACACACAACATTCATACTAGAAACACACAGCACTCATAATAATATCATACAACAATCTTATAACAAACATACAACAATCATACAACAAACACAACAACCATACCACAAATACACAGCAACCATTACCACAAACATCACAGTCATACCACAAAATGATCATACCACAAACACATAACAATCATACTAGAAACACACAACAAAATATTTTTAAGATTCTGCATGGACATTTAGTGTGAAATGTTTTAAGTTTATATACAATGTTTTTGGTTACCTTCCCAGACTCTGCTCCATAAAGAAGAATAGCAATTATATTTGTTTTGAAACTTCGAAGTTTTTCTGAGATTTATGAAGACAAATCGGGCTTTTGAAATTTTATTGTGTACATTTTACTGCCAATGTATACAAAGCTGTCTACTTCCTCAATTTTATTATAGTCAATCTTTACTTTGCCTCCTCTGATACTGTAAGTTTTCATGATTTTAGTCGTCTTTGTATTAATTCTGAGCCCTATCTGTTTTCCAAACTTCACTACATCATCCGTTTTGCTCTGAATATCATTGAAACTCTGAATATCATTGAAACGCTGAATATCATTGAAACGTTGTGTCAGTTAAGCAATGTCATTAGCGAAATTCATGTCTGCTAGAAAAAGGTCAAAGGTTCATGATATTCCTCTGTTTGTTTCCTTTGTTGTGCATCTCAAAAGCCAGTCTACACAAAAAGTAAAGTGAAGGGGAGAAAGAGGACATTCTTGAGGCACTCTTGTTTGGATGAAGAAGCAGTCTGTCAGTTGGTTTGAACAGATTACTTTTGCTTGAAACTCTGTATAACATCTGGATAATTGATATAATTTTGTGTTAAGTGTGAAAGAATCTTCCATAGAGCAAACGGTGTTTGCTGTCAAAGGCTTTTGTAAAATATATGAAGTTGGTATAAAGGGTAGCATTCCATTCATAACTCTTTTCAAAACTTGTCTAAGGTGAAAACTTGATCTATAATACATTAGTTTCCTTATCTGAAACCTTCTTGTTCTTTGCTGAAGTATGGATCAACAACTGCTGTTTTTTTTGTTTAAAATGATCTTGCGCATATCTTTGCTTGTAATTGAAAGTACCACTCCAGTTGTTGATATCAGAGAGATCTCCATTTTCGGGCATTTTCACTATTAAACCAATTTTCCAGTCAGATGGTGCCGATTCTGTTTCTTTGAAGAAGTTCTGTTAGAAGTTTAGGTGTTACTGCATCTTCTGCTTTTAACAGTCCTGCATACACTTGATCTAATCCAGGCGTGTTTCCATTTTTAAGAGATTTGGTAGCCCTTTTAACTTCTTCCTCTAATGGTTCACTGATGTCTTTGTCTAACATTTCTTCACTATTTATAATAATTGCTTCTGATTGTGGTAGCCCTTGGTTAAGATCTTTTCCAAAATGGTGTTTCAAACATGCTTATTATTCTTCGAGGTTAGATGCAAGTTGTCCGTCCTGCTTACGTACTAGTGATGCCAACCCTTTACTCAATAGTTTGGATACTCTATACAGTGTACCCAGTATTACTTGGAGGCTGTTTGCCCTGCTTCTTGTGATAGTTTGTCAACATAATCTCTTTTATCTTAACGTGCACTTTTCTTCTTTTCTTTATCTTCTTCTGAGTGTTTCTCTTTTAATTTTTGAACGGTTCTGTTTTTGTTGTTTACATATTCTGTTTGGTCTTGCGTCGCTTTCCTACCAATTCCCAAGTTCTTAAAGATAGCTATTATTCTTTCTTTCTCCATTTTTTCCTAGTGGTTCCATACCTGCTTCTACAGGGGTGGTGTTGGAATTATCAATAGTTAGATTTGTTCATTTCTGAAGATGTCAAATATGTTCTTGACTTCAATTTGGAATGATTTTCTTACTATATGGTCATTTAGCTATTTGACATCAACTTGCGGTGGTTTCTGCCCTCTTTTCCTTGCATTTCTTAGTTTCAGTTTGAATATTGTACAGCATAAAGATGTGGTCGGTACCTGCATCTGCACCTCTCATCTGCTCTTACATCTTGCAGTGTCTCCCTCGATTTAATAATTATAATATGGACAATTTGCTTTTTTGTAAGAACATCTGGTGATGCCCATGCTAGTTTATAGATGTCCTTATTTTGGAATATGGTACCACCTATAACTAGCTTGTTTTCTTTACAAAAGTCTAATCCCACTGCTCATTACACCACAACCATGTCTTCCCATTATGCTTTTTTATCTTCATTTATAGACCAAACTTTTGCTTTTACATCTCTAAAAGTAAAACATCATGTACTGGTGTTACTTTTTGTAATTGATCAAAGAAAGCTTCTTTCTCCTCATCCTTATTATTAATAGTTTGGCAAATTTTGAATGAAACCTTGCAGACAAAAGTCTATCACTGTATGGTTTCAATCCCAGTAAACAAATGCTTTTGTATTTTGTTATAATTATACCAACTCTACTGCTATGATGGTCATCAACTCTTTCTGAATAAAAATTTTATGTCCAGACGATAGATGTTTGTTGCCACGTTCAGTCCATCATGTTCTACTGACCTCAAGCATTTGAATGGTAGTTGTCTCTTTTATGACTTGTGCTAACTTGCCTGTCTGATATAAGGTGCGAACTTCTTTTGGGTTGAGTACATCCACCTTCTGTCTGGCAGCTTCGTTACAGGTTTGACTGCCATCAATCATGGGTTCAATTTCCTGAATGGTTTCAGTCTCCTCTTATGTCATAATGTCCTCGGCTTCGGTTTCTGTAGCCATGCATTATATACATGTCTGGGTTGCTAACACGGAGCATAACTACCTGGACTCGGAGGACCAGTGTTTTATGCTTCCCGAAGGGTGAGCATATAGTCGTCGCTTTGACCATCCGCTTTGAATGTCATGCCTAATTTTAGAGTTATTGCCCCTTGTTAATTTAACACTTTCAAATTTGTCCGGGACATAACTATAAAATTACCAGAGATAACAACATGAAACTTTGTAGGTAGATTGATCTCACTAAGAAGAAGTGTATTACAAAAGAACCATAGCTCTGTCTTGCATAATTTTGGAGTTATTGCCCTTTGTACATTTTATACTTTGAACATGTTCGGGACATTACTCTAAAACTATAAAAGATATCAACATAAAACTATTCACGTAGATTTATCTCATTGCGTAAAAGTGCAACGCAAAAGAACTATAACTCTGCCTTGCCTAATTTTGAAGTTATTGCTCTTTGTTCATTCTTACACCTTGAACATTTTCCAGGACATAATCAATATGAAACTTTGTAGGTAGATTTATATCATTGGGTAGAAGTGCAGTGCAAAAGAACCATAAGTCTTCCTTGCCTAAGTTCTTAATTATTGCCCTTTGTTCATTTTTACACTTTGAACTTTATCCAGGCCTGATTTCTAAAACCATAAGAGGTGTCAACATGAAACTCATTAAATAGAAGTGCAGTGTCAGAATCCTTAACTCAGCATTTCTTAATTATTGAGTTATTGCCCGTTGTTTATTTTAACAGTTTGAACATTGTCCAGGACATAGTTCTTAAATAATTATAATAGATATGAACAATACACTTCGTAGGTAGATAGATCTCGTTGGAAACATGTGCACTGCAAAAGAACTATAACTCTGCCTTTCCTTATTTTGGAGTTATTGCCCTATATTTATTTTTACACTTTGAACTTTGTACGTGACATAACTCTGACACTACAAGATGTATACTTTCCTGTCGATGAGCATCACCCGGTTAACTGGCTCTTTCTGCAGGGGTTGTCTTTCCCTTAGACGCTCCATTTGCCGAGCTAACGTGATTATCTTGAATATCAATATATTGAACCATAAACATTGACATGTATTTCTGGTTAGCAGAAACGTTGTGCTGAATTTTTATCAACTTCTTATTAGACAGATAACAGTAATGTACGGATCTATGATTATAAAGGGGAAAACCTTTTTTAGCAAATTATGGTATGTTTTGGTGTATATTTACCAAACACTGGTTTAATGTGAAATGAGTGAAAATAGGTTTTAAACCTAAAATGTTATATTTGAAAATGTGCATGACAAATGTCTTAACATGATTGCACAGATGAATCAATATAGATTCATTGTTTAATTGTGCTCGAGCGACAGTTTATTCGATATTTTTTTCATTGAACATAAAAAGTTTAAATTGTTCCAAACGTATCGGATCATTCTCTATTTATAGAATTTAACCTGATATTAGAAATTTGATAGGATTGGAATTGTATAGGATCGATATTTCATAACATTTTAGTTGCACCGCTGAATGGATATGTAATTTAATTGTTGATTTAAAGACAATATTATCGTCAAGACTTGTTGAGCTCAGGTGAAAGAGATGACGTCCAAAAACGACTGTGATGTGTCTATTGTGATGATAGATGCGGGCGAGTATTTAAGTTTTTCAGAGCGTATGATGACCATAAAAGAGACATTCTTAAAAAACATGGTTATTCAAGGAAAACATGCTTTATTTGTAAAAAATCTTTTGGTAACGAAGACAGACTTAAACAGCACCAAAAGGATACTGGTCATAGTCCTAAAGCTAGCCCCAGAGTCAAGGAATACCTGGATATATTTTATAAGGACAACATAGCAATAGACAAAACTGAACGAAAGGCTGCAGTGGCAAAAGCTGAAGAAACTGTTAGAAAAATTATGGATGTAGTAACAAAATCGAAAGACGGTGCAAAATACAATCCGAATTTAGAGAAAGCAGGAAGTTTTCCCACGAAGACCAAAATATCACACGCTGATTAGTTTGATACTATCGTAGCATGCAAAACTATTCCTATGGATGTGAAAACGCGCGGTTATGTTTCTTTCAAATACCAGCAGGTAGATAAAAAGGTGAGACAAGTATTATCGTTTTATATCGACACTTTATTGATATAATAGTATGACACAAAATATTGATTAATGCCTCTATCGGTATTTCTGCTTAATATTTCTTTGAGTGTTTGTTAGTATAATAATTGTTTGTGATACAATTTACAAATTGATTTTTTCATAATAGTTTGGAGACTTTACTATTGAAAACGCATCAGAGTTAAATCGTATGCATTGTACGAATACATGCACAGTGCGTTAACTGGAGTGCAGGTATAAGTAATCGCAATCACTGTCTATCTTGAGCATGATTGTTGATCGTCGAAATCAGAAAGTTTTGCGTTTCGGTGCTTTTTCTATTACTTAACAGACTTTGACTTTAAATGTAATGTAGGTTATCAATACTTATAAAAATATTATCATTAGATGTTTTGCTTTAAGGCAGGTAATGCCAATAATATGAACATTGCAAGACAAATTGAAGCGGGACACGACTGCCTTGAAATTCCAATGGGATATGCAGCTGTATATGTTGTGGAGAATAAAGTTTACGCAGATCAGACCTACAAAGGAAATCTTCTTGCAAGAGAAATTAAAAGAGATTTGTATGAAAAAGTTAAAAAGGCAATAGAAAATTTAGATTGGAAAAGTAAGAATATTTTTAGCTTTATTAAGTAATATTTGATAACACATAATCATATCTATTATATTCTTTATTGTCCAAAGAAAGTAAGAAGTAGTTATTTATCACGCCCAAACAATTTTCCAAACACATTTTCAAAAAGTAAAGAGTATACAAATATCACGAAAAAAAAAATGAAACTAGACCGTCTGCTATGATGTTGCAGTATTGTAACCAGTAAAACGTAACATGAATATGTAACTGAAAACAAACCATTACGTTTACACAATTTTGAGTTTCTAGTCACTGCGGAGTACTTTTGACATATCCATGTTAGTTTACCGAAAATCTTAGGGATGTGTACGAAGTATTTCGTTGAATATAGTAATTGATATTTCATCAGTTATACACAAAAGTATTTTTACATATTTTGCTAACTGACTTACAACTAACAAATAATTCTGTTTTATTTCACTTTTACTTGTAAGCAGATGTCGGCACTTTTTATATTAATTTTTAAGTACTTACTTATTCGTTCAACAGAAAATGTACCTATATTGTAGTTAACAGCAAAAACATGAAACGTAATTACTTTCAGATGTTGTCATCAATAAAAATGCACACGGCCCCGCCATAACATTAACTATCCGAAGACCTGGTTTCCATGATATAAGTATTGACAACACAGCGTCTCTCCCATGTAATATACCAGTAACAGTTTACGGTTGGCCACGACCTCAAACTCGTGATGCTTTTCCAGCGGATACCATTGAGGATGCAATCAAAACTGGGCTACATATTGTCCCAAAAGGAGATGAGTTGTGGGCTTTTTCGTTTTCCAATGTTGAGAAATATTTACTTAATAAAATGGACGGGCAAAATGGATGCCGACGAAAAGTGAACAAATTCTTGAAAAAATATGCACAAATATGCAGTTCCAGGTCTGAAAACGGACTTCCTGGGGTTTCTTCGTACATATTTAAGGTAGTAATGATATGTTAAACTTTAAAATAAAATGGCCATATCTTGCATTTTCAAGACATTGTATTTTATGCCCCTATGCTAATTTATCTTAACGTCTTCCGAGTGAGTTGTCGTTGTTTTTCTTATTCATAGATTGGTTAAATGAAACATATAACTTCAGTAATAAGTTTAATAATTGCAAACACTATACATGTATGTACATATTAATACCTACATTAACTAGTATGTTTTTCTGAATACTATTAATAAGGGGTCGGATATGAATTATTGAATAAAACACACACTTTTTTTTTTAAATATTACATTGAAAAGTCATAATAAATTTCAGCACGCGATATTATGGGCGTCAGAGAAACATCCAGATCCGGAATATTGGCACGATGCCAACATTGCCAATTGCCTTTTTGATAGCATCGATGACGTAATCAGAACCCTAGATAGCGGAAAGCTTCCAAATTATTTTAATACCTCCGAAAATATCCTGAAAGGTAAGGATCCCGAAACACTTCGAACATTGAGCAATTATCTGAAGGAAGAGAGGGAAAAGTTGTTACATATATAATGACAAGATTTAGAAGTTTTTATTGGTGATAATTTAAATGTTCAAAAATGTTACATTTAATATTTACATACACTTGTATCTTTATGTTATTTAAACCATTAATGCCAAATGAACTGAGGAAAGCATTTCTTCCACTACACGAACAATTTCAAAATACATATGTTTATGTCTCGTATAGGTGGCTTGACATTTAAAACACAGTAAAAACTCTGAAAAAAGAACAACAATTAAATACACAGAAAGTTGACACTTAAATTATTTCTGACCAGTTATTAGAGGATTTTCATGCATGTTTAGCATAAGTAACCATGGAAGATCGTCCGGTTTTCGGAATTCTGAGGTTCCGGTATTTAGAGGATTTTGTCAATGAACTTATAAGGAGAAAATATAGGACTTTTAAAATCGTTTTCAGGGGATTCCGATTTTCAGAGGGTCCGGTTTTCAGAGTTTATACTATATTTCGCTGACAGAGATGATACTTTCATAAGGAGAAATTGCAACATAATGTCACATAACATATTTATGACGTTGCGTTACCAGGTTGTCTTATAATTTGTTCTGTATGATATCATGTGGTGTTTTCCATGTTTGCTCAGAAGTGGTGTATTGAATACCAGTATTTTTGAGAAAATTGGAATTGAAATGATATTTCTTAATATGGATGTCATGAAAACAGGAGTAGACCAGGATTCAAAAGACACCAGTTCATGGATGTACTTTGTTACTTGATCAATCGCTACAATGTTTGGTTTTAGGGCAGCGACCACTTTACTTTTTTTCTATGTTATTTGATAATGCTGGCAGCTAGATCAGACTCATATTGAACTGTTTCTTAGATTCCCATCAGTACTGTTACTATAAACTAAGCCGGTAATTGTACTAATAAGATGACCAAACCTTATCAATTACTTGAGTTATCATGACCATTCATTCATTGCTGTGTGGAAGTTCATCAAGTGTTAGGATTTTATATGTATTTCACCAGTGATACCCGAGATAACTTAACTAGACCTAGAATCTTACAAATCCTGCCGGAAAAATCCCCTACAGATTTGCTAGATTTGTTTCAGTGAATGCTGATCTCATTCAAGTGTCAAAGCGCCATGATCTATGCATGGTTAGTTTCAACTTATGTATGAGAATATGCAGCTTTGTTTATAAACCCACGCCACATATACATACCTACAAACTTAACTATGTGGGATTCGAGAGGATAAAATTCACAATGTAAGGCTCTATCCGTATATCAAGCAAACCTGACTTACAGAGTTACGTTTAAGGAACAATCGGCGATGACATAAACACAAGAGCTGTATAACTGCATTACAAATTCATATTGTATCCTAAATCTTCGAACCATCTTCATCTTAAAAGTTAAAATCAAATTTACCCTTAGCAGTTGCCTTCATCGTATTTAGTTTGTTTGTTTGTTCGTCGCACCGAAACATAAAAGGTCATATGGCGTGTTACCAGTTTTCCAGGTAGAGGAAGACCTCAGGTGCACTTACGTGCATTAATTCTGCCACGAACCGGCACCTAAATAGAACCACCGACGTTCTGTAAACTAGTTGGATAGCTCCTCACATGAAAGATTCTAAAGTTCCTTTCGGGACCCACAGTGGTAAGGGGCTAGTGGTTTGAAGTCAACGACCGTAACTACTCGGCCACGGACGTCCAGATAAAACACTCAAAGTGCCACTTGCACTTAAAAGGCCCCTAGCATTCACATTTTCTCAAATCAGTCCTGTATAATATGATTAAAACCTAATTTTTTCTTGGTACTCTTTCTATGTTAACAGTTTCTGATATTCAATATCCTAACTGACCATTGGACGAAAAAAATATTACCGCTTTTATTACCTGAATTTACGTAGTAGTAAACACAATAACAAATTTTACTTCTGTCGAGTATCTTTTTTTTAAAGAAACTTATTGTTTGTTAGAATAAATCTATACTGTGAGAAATTAACTGTGGCGGCAAAACTAGCATAAATTGGTTTTAACGGTTGTGGTTTACTAACAGAGCTGCATTAGTACTAAGGGTGTAGTACTTAAGTACCAGTACCAGTACTTGGCAAATTATACAGTACCATTACCAGTACCAGTTCTAGATTTAAGCTTGGTACTGCAGTACCAGTACTTTTTTTGGTGAAGTAATTAAGTATCAGTACCATTACTTTTATATATTCATCAAAGTTTGAATAAATACAGTGTCAAACAAATGATTGCAAATATTATTCAGCAAAGAAATAAAATCATAATTTACTTTAAAGTTAACATAACATATTTACAACTTTATAGTTTTAACATACTTTTTACAAACAATATTTACAACATATATTCATGTCATATCTAATTGTTTAGTAACCAGTCAACTGTATAAATACAATGCAAACATCTTTCATTTAAAACACAACAGTCTTTTGTTGCCTTTCACACCTTCACACCTCTGTTCAATTTATACCAAAGTAAATAACAACTTTTTATGGTGCTAACAATATCACTTTTTTCACTTGAAATGGGATTATTTAGAATAGAAGAAATTAATTAGTGTTTATTTTGCTACTTTACTAGTAAATACAAAGTAATAAAAGATTTTAATAAGGATATTTTAGGGTAAAGAGTTATTGAGTCTGTTTATCTTAATTTAATTTTTACTGAAAGTCTTTGGTGCTTTTTATGATGAATACTATGTTAACATTTGAAGGAACATTGCAGCAAATTATCTTTAGATTTGATAATATAGTTAATGTAATTAACAGCTTTATTTTATGAGAAAAACATGCTTATTGTTTATAGATTCATCTTACATTTGTTGTATAAACTTTATCAATGTTAAAAAGCTCATGCATTACCGATCCCTGCTGGTATTACGTTATTTTTCTATAACATAAATTAACAACAACAAAAAAAAATCAACTACAAAAACAATATTTGTAATGTCTTCTTTTTGTGTTCATTTGTACTCCATTATTGTTTGTGTCACAATCCTAGATTTTTTAGCTTAAGATAATAGATCTAATAAAACTTAACAAAGATATAAAAGTTGCTCATACTTCTATAAAAGTTTCAGTATTACGTTATATCTAGCTATGTTGAGCGGAACTAAATGGAAATAAAGCTTCCAAACAAAACCAATAAAAACATACAAACTGTTCACTTTTGGTCATATTGCCGTTAGAACGCAAAGCCCTTGTTGCTTTTTTCGCTTTTTGTTTTCGTTTGCGCCTAATTTTAATATCACATTTAAATACAACCCCTATTGACAATAAAATGAACATCTTTTTTGACGATACTTAATTGCATAATGGTGAAAAGCCGGAAATACGATGATGAAAATCGAATGTTCGATTTTGATAAATCAAATGTATGATGGAAAAAAATTGAAATAACGAAACAAGGAATCTTCGATGGTGTTAGGTCGAAAGTACAGTGGTGAATACACAACATTATATATTGAGTTTTTATAAATTTCAAGCAACTAAATGTATATTTATGGCCGTCGTGTTTCTTATAAAGAAAATTCCATGAGCTTGTATAGGGTGTTAAATCAAAAAGTAATATTTGTTGTTAAAGTGCTTTTTAAGCAGGTAAAATACAGAAAGTGTAACAAGATTTTTTTTGTCTTTACTGGGGAAAAAACCGATCTACCGATTGTCGGGCAATTTCTGCGTGTTATTTCAAATAGAGACTTCCAAAAGTTTTGTGACAAAGAATTTTCAAATGAACGACGAGTATATATATATATATCAGAATTAGTCAATCCCTTGAGTCTGGGGGTCATGAGGTATTAATTAATATTTCATAGTTCACTCTCAGCCCTCATGTATGGCGAGGTTTTCATATTGTTGTAACAGTTTCTGTATTTAAGATTTTTCATCAATAAATATTTTTGATTATTTGCAACAACGCTTTGCTTGTGTCACTTTGTTTTACTTGTTCAAATAAATATATGTCAATTATTTCTATGTTTACAAATGTTTATCAAGTATTTGTCGTGAAGAAGTGAGAATCGAGAGTTCAGAAGTATCGCGCATGAATACATCTGCATAAATTATTTTATAACATTATTAATGCCTAACAGGGTAGCTGTATTATCTCCAAAACACACATCGATATCGGTAAAATTGTCTTCATTATTGTTATCTTAAACACATATATTTTAATTCTTTATTTGCATCAATCTGATTGACATTCAACATTGTTTGTTTGTAATAAATAAAAAAACATAAACTTAATTGAAGGTCAAGATATTTCTTCTGTCTTTTTGTGCTGTAACTGGCTAAAACTTTGTTATTAATAAATGTATTATTAATTCACTGAACAGCTTTCATTAACACAACACTACCTATAAGGTAAGCCACCCATCAAGTTCAATGCGGCGTACCGCATACAACACTTTCAGTGCTTTGATTTTTCTTAGCTGTAAGAAATTATTATGTCGACAATTGCTAAAACTATATGTTTCGAAAACTAAAAAAAAAAACATTAAGCAAGTTAACCAGTCTAACCTCGGCCAAGATACTGTTTGATATTTAATGTTTTAATTTTACGTTTTACCCAATTAATTTTGTGTTCCATCTATTAGACATTCCAGAAATGCCATAAGTGCGAAGGCAAAGTTACAGATTTCCATTTCACTAAATATTTTGGCTACGAAATTTTTTACCAACAAAAAATAATGCTCATATATCACTCAGCATTACAATTATCGTAAGACCGTGTCAATAAGTCATAAGTAGAATAAAATGTACGAGTAATAAATTTTATTTCAATCAATCAAAAAATTATTGTTTAGAACAGTAAATAAGATTTTATTCCTGCTAAATAGACTATGTCTGCTATACTGGTCTTGCGAATCTACGTATCACATGGAAGACCGCCATTTTGAGGCGATGGACAGGAACAAGAAGATTTGTATGTTTTTTGTTCACATCTATACTCAGGATGATAAGAACCGACAAACTCGCATTCATTTCTTGTCTCATGACACCATCGACCATTTACTTAAACACAGTGAAATAGTTTAAGCAAGCAGCATTAATGATAAAAAGATTTGTAAAGTTTAAAAATAATTATACAAGTTTACACTATTAAATGACATTTTATTATTTTGATGCACTGATGAAAATAATGGTAAAACAACTGACATAAAATTCCTATCACATTGCCGTGAGATCAAGAACACCTTTAGACAAGAGCCAGTTGAACTGGGTGATGCTCCCTGAGGTTTTGGACACAGAAAAGTATACCTTTTGTAGTTTAAGAGTTATATCCCAGACAAAGTTTAAAATGCAATAATTCCAAGGCAGAAAAGGCAGAGTTACTTTTCTTTGCACTGCACTTCTTCTCAATGAGATCTATCTATCTACAAAGTTTCATGCTGATATCTCTTTTAGTTTTAGTGTTATGTCCCGGACAATGTTCAAAGTGAAAAAATGAACAAAGGACAATGACTCAAAATAATGCAAGGCAGAGTTATGGTTCTTTTGCACTGCACTTCTATTTAATGTAATCTATCTACCTACAAAATTTCATGTTGATACCTCTTATGGTTTCAGACTTATGTTCCGGACAAAGTTCAAAGTGTAAACAAGAGCTGTCGGTAGGACAGCAACGCTCGACTATTCTTAGTGCTTGATAGTAAAAAAAATGCTTGATACAGTTACCTCCTCCTGTTTACAGGTTGGGGTCATGATGGTGAACAAGTGTGCAAAGTTTCAAAGCCATATGTCAATGGACTTTGAAAATATTTGAACTATTACAAAAACTTTAACGTAAATTCTAAGTTGAAAAAGGGGCATAATTCTGTCAAAATGCTTGATAGAGTTACCTCCTACTGTTTACAGATTGGGGTCATGATGTTGAACAAGTGTGCAAAGTTTCAAAGCCATATGTCAATGGACTTTGAAAATATTTGAACTATTACAAAAACTTTAACGTAAATTCTAAGTCGAAAAAGGGGCATAATTCTGCCAAAATGCTTGATAGAGTTACCTCCTCCTGTCTACAGGTTGGGGTCATGATGGTGAACAAGTGTGCAAAGTTTCAAAGCCATATGTCAATTGACTTTGAAAATATTTGAACTATTACAAAAACTTTAACGTAAATTCTAAGTCGAAAAAGGGGCATAATTCTGTCAAAATGCTTGAAAGAGTTACCTCCTCCTGTCTACAGGTTGGGGTCATGATGGTGAACAAGTGTGCAAAGTTTCAAAGCCATATGTCAATGGACTTTGAAAATATTTGAACTATTACAAAAACTTTAACGTAAATTCTAAGTCGAAAAAGGGGCATAATTCTGTCAAAATGCTTGATAGAGTTACCTCCTCCTGGGCCATCCTTAAAAAAATGTTTGTTTGCAGTAACGCGACCTACTCACAAAATTTGCCCCTACTCAAAAGTTTTTTTCATGGTCTGGATAAAGAATTATTTTTTTTTAATCAGAAAATTATGCCTTGTGCTTTGTTTTTGTTCTTTTAAAGGTTAATAGAAGAAATAAAATGTATGTATTATTTAATTAGAATTCATTTGTCAATTTATTAATTGTTACCAGATTATCAAAGCATAAATTGTCCAGCATTTTGAAATTCCATGTTTATTTGGGAGTACAGTTCAATAATAAAAAAAAAATAAAAAAATAAAAAAAATCGACCTACCTACCCACCTTGAAAATCCTGGGTCGGGTTACTGCAAACAAACATTTTTTTAAGGATGGCCCTGTCTACTGGTTGGGGTCATGATGGTGAACAAGTGTGCAAAGTTTAAAGCCATATGTCAATGGACTTTGAAAATATTTGAACTATTACAAAAACTTTAACGTAAATTCTAAGTCGAAAAAGGGGCATAATTCTGTCAAAATGCTTGATAGAGTTACCTCCTCCTGTCTACAGGTTGGGGTCATGATGGTGAACAAGTGTGCAAAGTTTCAAAGCCATATGTCAATGGACTTTGAAAATATTTAAACTATTACAAAAACTTTAACATAAGTGGTTACGCCGACGCCGACGCTCGGGTGACTGCAATAGCTCTACTTATTCTTATCGAATAGTCGAGCTAAAAATGAACAAAATTAGACAAGGCAGAGTTATGGTTCCTGTGTACTGCACATTTACCTAATAAAATGTAGCTACCTGCAAAGTTTCATATTGGCACCTCTTGCTGTTTCAAAGTTATATCTCGGACAAGAAATGGACGGACGGACAAAGCGGCGAGTATATGCTCACCCTTTGGGGAGCATAATTAATAGAAAACGTTATATATAATTACTTCTAGAAAACGCACCTGGGCAATTATGTCCTTCACATGCCTTGCTGCTTACTGAAGGTCCAGCACAAGTCCCAACAAAGTTGAAACGCCGATGACATGTCCTTGATCTATTTCTCGTACCTAGCCCACAGCTAGCCGAACAGGTACTCCAAGGTTGCCAGGAACCCCATACAACATGAGCTGAAGTACATTATATAATTTTATGTTCGGATATTTCACTAATTACACAACGGTCTATATATAGATGATGCATTTGAAAATTTGTAACAACAAAAGGAAAAGCGCATATTTAAATATATGTACATATCTTTGATGCACAATTTACTTTTAAAGGCATAACATTCATACCTATATACATAGGCTACTTTAAGACACTTTGATATTATATCTAGCATTATTATCATCTCTACGTTCTAAATAAAGGGGAATAAAACCAGTATATCAATTTTAATATAAAGATAAATTATACCACATGTAGCGCAGGACGATGGGCATCGTAGTAATACAGTCTGTTCTCTGCATGCGTTGCCATTTAGACGACCGAATGTTGAACACAATATGGGGTCAGAGTCGGTACAAACACCAGGTGAAATCGGTTTGAGTGGAAAAACCTGACCTGGAAAATTAACAGTTTAATTATTATTTAAAATGAATTGTTTTTAAAACGCGAAAATGCACTTTCGAGCACTGACAACTGAATACATGTAAGATAAACATCATCTTTCTATCAATAAGATCTCAAACAATATCTTTATTGGCAAATCAATGACACCTTCCACTTTACCATTAAGCTTGGTCGGATGAACAGATGAAGAAACTATTGTTAATTAGTTGTTTTCCTTATACTACATTGTTGGAATTATTAACTACATATAATTCTAGGTCACGACGGAAAAAGTAATTCTGGTTTTCTTTAAGATGTGATGGGGCCACTTAATTTGATTTGTTTGTCTTACTGTCAGAGTATTAAAAATAATTTACTTGACTAGTGATGATAATTAAATTTACTGGC